TCAAATATTAATCCAAAAAGATGTCTATCGATTAGACGATTTTAAAAAGATCTTACTTTAAACGTCACGATGAAGGTTGACCACTATAATATGTATTATTGCAATCGTCTGAATCACTTACAGGCATGTTACAGGTCATATATAAATTAGAATATTATAAAATAGTAATCAGTAAGAGTTACAGTTAGGGAATTAATTTAACTAGCATATTTGTTTATGTATTTATAAAATAAATAAATTCAAACTTTTATTTCAATGAGTTATGAATAAAACTGTTTGATGTGGCGGCACTTGTCATCTTTCAATTATTACTAGTGCCTGGACGGGAAATCACACAGTAATTAAGCGATCAAAACATTTTTAAATAATACATGTTCTGCCTTATTGGCTAAAATACTAAAGTTTAAATTCTTAAAAACTTGGCTTAACCATTATAATTTGCTAATCCTTAATTTATTATTTCTTATACTATCATAAATAAGTTTGTAGCCGATAGGTGTATGGGCACAATTTATAGGTACTATAACTCATGGTTATATCATAATTTAAATAGTAAACACATTATGCAACGCCATATTACGTATTTTATTCAGGAATTATCACTCAACTACAACAGCCAAATTTAATAGTCTACAAACGGAAGAATTTTGTCAAGTTGTCGTAGGTAATAAATGTTTTTGTACACGTTTTTAGGGTCGAGAAATTAAACACAAAAACAAGTGGGTGGCTTTATAAAAACAAAAGATTTACGAGTACATCGGATATCGTGTTGTACCGCTGTTTTTATAATGGAATGTACAATACGAAGTATGATCTATTAATTTATTTTCTCATATTATACAGTGCATTTATTTCAACTTAGTCACTATAAGACAGAAATATAATTATTTATATCATATCACCGTAACTCGTAATATATCATTATATTTATATTTATTATTGCTATTTCAGTTATAACGACATATCTTATATCTAACGTTCATTAATATTGAAGTCAAGCCCCATTTTGGGCCTGGGGCAAAACAATTTTAGGGCCTTACAATAACTTATTAATTTTAACTAGGGCTAAGGTTTATATGCATTTTCATGTTTTTTTCCTTAAGTTCACATTGATTAGTTTCAGAATGTCCACGATATGGCTTATTTTCGATTAAATAGAACCATATTTTTTTTTTGCATATTTTAAACATACATAATGTATATAATTTTATATTTATAGATTTTTGAGAATCTTGTTAATTTTTAAACTTAAATTTTCAAGTTTTTATAATACTGCTAATTTTAAATGGTATTTATTTAACCAGCGTTTATTTTTCGAATCGCAAATATACTATATATACGAGTATATAATCTTATCTTGATTGGATGACCGATGTAATTATTCATGCATTATTTAACGACATACTTATAAGAGGTCTGCACGGGCACAACAATTTTAGGCCCAGCCCTGTCCGAATTTTTTGCTAACATGTAAGGCCCGTTTCACAGCCATGCGTATGAACTAAACAATGAAAGTTTAAAAACGATACGTATGAACGTTAGAAAGGCTGTGAAACAGGCCTAATGCTTTAAATATATTTTTCAAAGGCCGGTTCGCCCTAATGAATGTTTTGTCACTAAAATTGAATTTTTGTACAAGCTTTTTACATTGTAATAAAACCCGGGCTGGATCGTGATAGATTTAGAAAAGCCCGACCCGGGGTCCATGTCTCGTTTAAAAAAAAGCCCAGTTCTGCCTAGATTTAAATTTTAAGGGCCTGGCCCATGCATGTATCAAGTAATTATATTGTGAGACAGTACAGAAGTATTCATTTCATTATTGTGACTAATAAATTACACATATACTTATATAAAAACTAATATTTGATGTAATAATAACAAGTTATAATAAATAATAATTCTAGAAATAATAAAAATTTGTTTTTGCATATTTTTGCAAATTTTTGTAAATAAAATGCATATAAAATTTTTTATTGCTCATAAATCCTAGCCCTAATAATAACTAAATAGGTAGGTATGTTTTATAATAAAAAAAAGTTTTATAGCTATATCTTAAATATCTAGTAATAATAATTCAACCGTCGTAAATTCGTAATCGTAATCGACGGTATTCTCTGTACTCAAGTATTCCTATAAATTCTTCCTTACCATTATCATCCTGCCAAAAAATAGACAATACTATGATTGCGTAATAATAACATATCTATTATCGATATAGTATAGCCTATAGGGTACGTTAATGTATTTTATCCAAATATTTTTGATTTAATAAAAAAAAAAGAAAAGCCAGAGGCCTATTTTTGTTTGATATTCGTTGTGGGCCCGGGGTCATGCCTCCTCTGCCCCCATCCTTAGTCCAGGCTTAATAGAAGTATTGACTCTGTGAAAGATATTTATTAATGAAGTTTTAGTTAATAATTCATTTTAATATCTGGTTTGATGAGTGTGTCCTAATGACATTATATTATTGATAACTAACTCATTACTTTTCAATATAATAAATATAAATCAATATATAACTATTAATTACTCATTTATTTATATTCATTTAAGGTTTGTAGATCTACTTCTTTAATGCATATTAAGAATTTTACAATTATGACATTTTAGAAATACAATTGGTATCCGATTACTAATCAATTGATACTTAATAGTAATTTTTCGATTACGTGATACTTCATTTATGATATTATAAGTATAATAAGTGTATATAAGTTAATATTATTAATAATAAATAAATAAATAAATAAGTAATCAAATTGAGTTTGAAAATAAAAATACATTTTCAAAAAAACTAACCATGTAGATATTGTTTCAATAACCAAGTTAACCCAATCGATATTTCATCATCGAATAACACCAGGATGCAATTCAATCAGTAGCAACGCGATGCCGTCCAAGTTTAACATATTATTACTATATATTACATATATTGTTTAAAATACTATAACTTTAAGTGAACATGGAATATGGAAACGGTTTGTAATTCCAAAATTTAAATCAATAACCGTCTTGGTGTATCCGACGGTACACGTATACATATTCTATCCGATAAGTGGACGAATGTAGGTATTATATGTTATAAATATTATTTAGTATCCATGAAACCTCTCTATGATTTCGCTAGTAGCGTTCTAAATAATAGCACACGCAGCAGTTATTTTCTTAAGTACTAGATAGTAACATTTTCTTGATAACTTAACAAAAATATTTTACAAGGCACTTGACTTTAAAAAACACTAACGGGTTAACATGATCTACAACAGTTTTAAAATTAATTTATTAAGTCGATTAACAGATACTTAAAACCTTGAATTTTGAGAATTTTAATATCTACAAATATTCAACGACTGCTATTTATATATTTATGGTTCTCAAAGAGACCATTGTGTAGAGTTTGAGAAAAAAGTGATTAGGTATAGATATAATTCACCAAATTTACTCAATGACTTAGTATTCTGCTTTAATCTAACTTAATAACAGTTTGTGAACTATATATATAATATTAATTATTTTATTTTTAATTAATGCTTACATAAATACTCTTATACTCAATTTAATTTATTTGATTTATTCAGTCACATTTTAAAAAAATTGTATTGTATATTTTAATAAAATTGAGTTTTTAAAATAAACTCACTATTGTACAAAAATTTTTTATACTTTGTTGTTGCTATGAAGGAAGAGTGCTTATTTCCATACCTTAAAATTACTTAAAAAGACTCAACACCCATGAGTTTTTTTTCGTCCTACAAACGTGCAATATAGCAAATAGGTGTTCAGTAGAACTTATTTTGTGTTATTAGGTTTAATATTAAACTGACCTATATTAAACATAAAGAATAAAATATTATCTGTCATATCATATTTTTTTTATTTAGTTTTAATTTTTAAGCGAGTTATGAGCTTTTTTTTAAAAAATAGTATTATCTTACATAACATTAACTTGCTTAAGAATGTAAACATAGTAAAAACCTAAAAAAAGGCAAAATTATGTTCTGCCCTTTAAATTTAATGATAGGTCAGTTTACCTTAATATTAAACCTAACAATGTAAATATTAGTTCTACTGAATGCAGATTTTCTTTGTTAGACATTTATAAAATGAAAATAATACATATAGGTAAAGCGTCCAATTAATAATTTCATTTTTACAGGAAAATTATTAGGATATAAATGAAGACCTATTCCCAGTTTTCTCATGTATTATATTATCAAAAATTTAATAAAATGTAGTAACCAAGTAGGATTCTTATAAATTATTCAAGATAAAATCAGTTATTGTTCAATAATCCAAGTTTTAAGTCATTATATTAATAATTTCAGGATGTAGATTATTTAAATCTAGTTTATATTGAAGATACAAGTTTTTGTAAAATGTTATATAGGTAACTGAAAAAAGTGAAAACACATTAATGATTTTTTTATTATCAATTTTAATATGCTAAAAGCAAATGTTTATAAAAAAAATTACATTGTCAAATTAACAAAATACAATAATAAAAACAATATTATTTTCGATAACATTAATAAGATTTTATGCTATAAAAAAGATTATGTTGCATTTGATGCCCCTAAAATACACTTTTTACTCGACTATTTTATTTCAAAGTAGTATGATTTATCCTGATGTTTACTGTATCAATTTTTTTATTGAAACCATTTTTAAATTCTTATATGGTACATAAAGTGAAAAATATTGAAAAAATTACATAGTGGCGTAAGACAAATAATAATAAATAAATATTAAGACAATATGAAAATTTATAGCAAATAGTAATTAATATATGAATGTGTAAACTTTAGGATTATCAGTAAATGATACATTCGGAGGGTTTAATATCAACTTGATATTACAATAACGACTTTAATAATAATAAATAGAATTAACGCCAATATATAATAATAATAATAATAATAATAATAATAATAATAATAATATTGGTTGAATTGTCTAACAGACAGCTTATAAATTATAAAAAAAAAGAAAAACACAAATACTTAACTAATAAATTATAAGTAATCTGTTATTGTAAATATAAAAAAGAAAATTAATAGGAAGGCATAAAAGAGGAGGGAAACGAACGCGAGATGAGAAAATTTGATGTACGAAATAAAAAAAACTGTTGGAATATCACATGTTAAATATATGAGGCTCATACTCTTCAATGGTTTGTGTGCGCAGATTTTTCAAGAGTAAATGGAGCAAATATTCGGGTAGTCTACATACAAATGACTACATCAAAATAACTAAAAATCAGTTCGCGATACGTTGAGATCAGCTATACCTGAAAAAATAAATAAACGTGTAAAAATATTACATCACGTGTGGCCAATAACGTTTGGATAGTTGGTTATCTAAATAGAAAACAATTTTATCAAAGGTTTGACGTGCAATGGACGTCATTGAAGAGCACCTATTAATAGATATCTATTCAAGACATTTAAAATTGTTTAATTTCTTCTCTTGCAATGAACCAAACCAATCAAAGGTTATAATGTCATATGATTAAATAAATAACTATCATTAAAAGTTATAAGCATGAAATACTGATAATTGATATAAAACATAGCTTCTTAATATTATTATTGAGAATTACTTAATATGTAGGTTTGTTATTATGTATACTATATTGTTTTATTTTGAAAAATAACTTTTTTCGTAAAAACCATCTTTTCTCAAGTGATATCGATTTTTATGTCTGTATGTTTTCCGAATAAAATGTCCTTGTCAAATTATATTTTAACTTGAGAAACTTGAAAACAAACTTAACGTCAGATATTGATTAAAAGAACGAGGTTGAACGCGGTTATTTATAATAATTTTTATCTTTTTCCAAATAAATTAAGTTAATATTCATTACATATGATTATAATTATATCAATGAAATGGAATACAAATAAAAATAAATCTAATTGATGTATAAGTATTGTTTTTAAAAAATTAATTTAGATAAGTACTTTAATTTAAATCAATAACTTGTCACTTTCTTTTATAGTACTAACATAAGAAAAAAACAAAATAAAATGTAATAAATAATGTACCTAGTCTTTTATTTATTATAACGAATTATTAAAATAGTAAATCATTAAATAGGGAAAAATATCTAATGACATTACAAATTCATTTCATTTTTTATATTGTATACTCATCCAGATTTAATATTTTAAAAAATATTAGGTATAACGTTGATTAACCATTTAATTTAATTTATGGTGTTAGACGAAATCACCATAATGATATACGAGTATTATTATTTATTAAAATTATAATACATAATATGTTAAATATATTATGTTTATATTTTTGAATAAAAATATTATCAAATTCGAAAAATTAAAATTAAGTTTACTTTATCAAAAATGTGAGTGAATTCGATTAGTCGTATTTTTTTTTTTCAAAATATAATACCATATATTTAATTTTATATTATCAATTTATTTATTCTATAATCAATGGTTAATTGATCATACAAATAAAAATTCTTTATTTTTAACAGGATCGAAAAAATATGATCTTAATGAAATTTATTGATATAATATTGATGCGACATAAATTGGAAAAGCGATAATTTTTTAGATAAAATATAATTAAGATATATATTATTAATTTATGGAAAAGCAATCAGTTAAAAGCAAAATAACTATTTCTGAAAATTTAAAACTTACCATAATAAATTAATATGGACAATATATATATATCACTCGTATCGATCATCGCTGTCTTCGTAAAATACAGCCTCATTAGGACAATAATATTTAGTCATCAAATAAACAGCAGCCTCGTATGTTGCCATCATAATGGCTGTGTTAGGTATCTGTCTAACTAGTTGTGTGGTTAGACCACGGTACAATCCCCTGGGACCCTCCTCGCTGTAAACTGTTAATAATGTCTGGAAGAAACTTCGATATTTGGTTCCTTCTTCTCGGAGTCTGGTCCTAGCAACTTCTGTTAATTTACGAAAAATAAAATTTTATTACATATTTATTATTTATATCACACAAACATGAACTATTTAATTATTTTTATAAATGTGTTTTTAGAGAATATTAAAATTATCATAAAATATAGAACTTTCATAAATAATTACATCAATGATTAAAAAAGTACACGATAATTTTTTATATGGATGTAATTATCATCTGTTATTTAGTTGATTTTTGGAAATTCCTCATTTTTATTGTTTACATTTAAAACGACATAGGTATTAAATTATGTAAGTATTTTATACATTAAAAAAGAGGTGTTTAAATGTCCACCTATCCATTTAATTTTTAGGCGTGTCAATCGACAGCCTTGTACGATCGATACGTATGATCATTGTCATTAAAATAAATACATATTTTATTGTATTTTTAACTATATACGTATCTAAAATGTAACTGTTCTATTACCGTGAGGGTAAGCGATGCACGAAGCAACAGTTTTGGAAATGGCTCCAGCCATCATAAACTCAAGAAAGTCTTTGGATGATTTAGTGTTGTCTTCCGATTCGTTTAGTCCAACACGGGCAGCTATCAGTCTCGCTTTGATTGCTTCGTAGATGACAAAATGCACTACTGTTTCAGATATTCCAAAGTACGAAGCTGTAATACCTTTGTAGAAACCTTTTATGCCCTACGTATACAGTACAAATTATTTAATTATATTTAAACTTACCGAAACAAACTATGGAAACTTACCCCAGATCTATATATCCTTTTGATACATTGACCGGCGGTGAGTCTTTTCCCGTTTTTGTTCAAGTCTAACTGTAGCCTAGTCTTGACTAGCCAAATAGGATTGGTTGCTGAACACGAAGCAAAACCTAAAAAATAAATAAATTTATAAACGCCCTAAATTAATATTGATAGTGATAACTTTAAGTAATAATGTGAATACAAAATATATATTGTTTCAACTGAATGATTATAAATTATACTTAAGTGCTGAATCATTAATGGACATTTAATAATTATACTTTAAAAATAACTTAATTGACAAACCATATTGTCCTTAGGATAAAGGCAATAAAAAAAAATTAATGGACATTAATATGTATTAAAAAGATTTAAACCAAATATCGAGTATCGAATTCAAGTTTTCACGTAAATACGCGATTTTGCATAGAAGCACATATTATGAAACTTCTTGATAAGATTTTTTATGATTTATGTCAAACGAACTCTTAATAAAATAGTACTTATTCTTAGATTTCTATTTTTAAAATATTCAAGAACATTTTAATTGTTTTATTATAGATGAAAACAATTATTTAGACTATTCAATAAAAGTTACATATATTATGTTACACACTAAAACATTTCTACGCGTAACAAAATGCTAGTAAATAACTATCAAAATATTAGTGAGATTACGTATACAATTTTTTCAATAATTATAGCATTAACTTAATTAGAATAATTATATAACATATTTGAGATACTTCATTCAATTTATTAATGAGATGTGCAGTGTTCGCAGTTAATGCGATAAGTATCGATATACATTTTAATATACATCAATAATAAAAAAAAATATAAAACCTTGGAATTAAAATTATGGTAGGTCCATATTTTTAATCTAATAAGTTCAATTTTTCGTATCAAAATAAATAAATTGTATTTTAGATAAAATTAAACGTTAAAGTTATATTCCATATAAAATAAAAGTGTTAAATCTTTCCTTACAACTTGTTATATTAAAAAATTACATTTCGCAATTACTTTTAAAATATCGTTTTATCAAAAAATGTTGTACCAGTATCTTGGGGTCATATGAAAACTGTTAATTTAAAGTTACGGAATTCCTACTATATTCAGACTGTAAAAAAACAATAAATATTTAAACAATCCCTATATATAGTTCAAAAATGTAACATTTTTTCATATACAAAATTTAATAATATATAATAGTTTATCATTGATTGATATTAAATTAAATTAAATTTTTAGTTTCCAATGAACTATACCAATTAAAATAAATAAATAAATATACATAATTCAAAGAACAAATTTAATATACAAATATGTAATTATAATAAGGTTGAGCACGATAACAGGATTATTACTATACAAAATATAGATATATATAATACTATACACAGGACCGGCGCTACAAATTGCGAGGCCCCGTGCAAAATAGTTGAAATAAAATAATACACAACAATTAATATTTAATATATACTCTTTATTTTTTAATTATATATATAAAGTAATATAATATATTATTTATTATTGGTTATATTTTTAGAACGATTTTTTTCTTGACTTTTCGCTAGGATCTGTAGCTTAAAATATTATATTTTTATTGATAATGTAATATTTTCTAAATTATAATAATTATTCAGTAATGATTTGTTTTCCGCGGGGCCCTAAATTTGTGCGGGGCCCTGTGCAGGTGCATCGGTTGCACTGCTGTTGCGCCGACCCTGACTATACAGTATAAATCTACACTAAAAACTCCTAGCCCTTATTTTATTTCAGCTAACACTGACACAAAATGTGTAGTCTAAAATTGAAAAGTGCACTACTGATTCGAGAAGTGTGTACCTACTACTGATAAATAAAAATACTATGAAAGTTTTACAGGAACCTAGTCTATGCAAGACAGCTAACGAGGACTGAATATATCTATTACATTTCAAATTGTATATCCCACATTAAAATAAATAATGTATTAATAGTTTTCAGATTTATACCAGATATAAATCATATCATAGTACATAAAAAAAAGTGTAGTATGAATTTTTACGAAAAATAGGGGTTGCGGGTTCCATGATGGTAACTTTAAGTCTTAGGAGGTTTTCTACGTTAATTTTCTTCTTATGTCGTAGATATTTATAAAATCAGCTAATATCAAACAACCCAAAAAATTGTAACGAACGATTATGGTAATAATAATAAAAATATTTCTTAAAAAAAAAATTCTCTGCTTATCATCTACAAGCTTTCCGCATATAATTTGATACACTTACCAAAGGTTGGGAACCGCTGCTTTAATGAATGAAGTGATATAGTCTAACATCATCAGAAAATGGAATTTTATATAGGTACCCAAACTTAATGGGTGTCTATATTAATACACTAAATATTAAAATTACATTAACTGCAAAAGAATTGTGGTATTTTTAAAGTAATGGCTATATTATATAAATATTCTATAGTAAAATCACTCGAGTTATTATTTTATAAAGCTTAAAATATTTATTTTATTTTTATTTTTTATATTAGAATAAATACTACAATTATTACTTATAACTTTTTTAATACATATGCGTTCACTATATTAATTACAGCATACATAATTATAAAACACTTATACTGTTAATCTTTTAAGATATCTCAAATCTTAAAGTTAGATTACTCTCAATAAATAATGAACACTGACGCTTCAGTTGTTTTTCGAAGCGTTTTATTTTGGTAAACGACCTTGAAGTTGAAGACATGTACAACGAGACATACCAAGTATATTATCATGAATATAAATGTTAGTATATTAGTTATAGGAAAATAATAATTAAATGTATTCGTTAAAAAAAAAAAAAGTATAAAATATTCCGTTAGTATTAAGAATTTTTAGTTTTATACATCGAACCATTACTTTGAAGAATATGTAAATTTATCCTGTTTTAAATACTCAAAAGTAATAATAGCTAAGATACATGCTTGAATTTAATATTATGAAAAATATTCTACCATAGTGATTTACACAAATATCATAACAATCACTTTTCTATGATTTGACGAAACGTATTAAGTTTTTTATTATGAAAATAGTCATAAAAGCAAAGTATTTATGACTATATAAGACCATAGATAGGGAATTAATAATATAATTTGCCGTTTTTTTCGATCAGTTAGCAATAGTAACTATACATTTTTAAAGCGGTTCAAATCTTAAAACGAAGTTTTTAACAACGTGCAGAGTACACCAAATCATTCAATTTGGATTCCAAGAAAAATTTATTTTCGTGTGTAGATTGCAAAAAAACAATATTAAGTAACTGACATTTGTGCAGTATTTAATGAAATCAGTCCAACGGAAATCACGAGAACAAAAATGTAATCAAAATACATGTTCTTAGGAATAATTAGACACAACGAAATCGCGTGAACTATAAAGATACAGTTTACAGACGTTCGGAAGAAGTCTAATCCTATACGTCATTAAAAAAAAAAAAAAACAATTTCCTACGCCAACTGCAACACGATTAGTTTTGGCACATCGCGATCGCGACATAAATCGCGTATGCACCGTGTTATTTTGACTGCGATGATTGCGCACTCGAACCCGAAGAGTTCGCGCATACGGATACGGTATGAAAATAATCCGCGCAATAATACAACTATCGTCAATCGTCATGCACGTTTACCGCGAAAACATGATCGGAGGGTGTCGGTGTAACCCAGTAAAAACAACAACAACAACAACAACAGCGCTAATAATAAATAAAAATCGTCCTGTGATCAGGGCAAGAGGTAAATGCAGAAATGCAATGCAAGAAAAATAATATCGTATTATTAATCTATATGGTGGTAGTTGGATAAACATCCGAGGATCCGGACGAAGAAAAAATAAACAACAACACCGTTAAACAGCTGCACAACGGTTGGTCCGGACCGAATTTACGAATGGTCTACGTGATAAACACAACGTACACATGAATTATACGGAAAAAAAAATGTTTATTACCGAAATACGGTTGCTTATTTCTCTCTCTCTTTCTAACTCACTCAGTATCTTCCCCACTATTCACTCCACGTTGTGCGATCGGCTGCGGTGGCGTCGGTTCGAGGACGCGGTTACTGTACTACGGCAGCGGACGAGGGTAGAGCGCAGCTGGTCTCGGTGGATTCATACGATCCAGCACTCGCGCGCACGCGTCGACGCCACACACGCGGTGCACAACATTCGGACAACAACAACAACACACCGATGGCGATGAGGAACGAGGTCAAACGCCGTCGCCGCATTGGAAAATAAACAACAAAACATTGAACATATGATTTTGTCACCGCCATTGAATTCATTCTACTTACGACGGCATACCCGTTAAACTGTTTCGATTAAACTTGGCCGACCAGCGACAATGGAGAGTGTCTACCTCCTACTGTCGTCTTATATAAAGCAGCGGTTCTTCAACCTTTCTACACGGAGCGCTAAGATGCTAAAAAAAAAAAATTCCAGGGGCTTCAATTACCAATCACACCTAAAAATATTAATTCCATTTTTTTTTAAAAAAACTAGTAGTTAATAAGTTTTAAAGCGAACAATAAAATGGATTTTTTTTTTTGTATTTACCAGTACACACGGTTTAATAGAAAAATGTCTGCTTATACGCAATTATTTTACACTATCTGTACAAACGCAAACATTTAATTAATAACAATAGTTGAATTTATTTAATTCCACGCATAAGTGGAGGCACAAGATTATTATTTAATTGTAATCTGTACTGTTGTCGTATATAGATGCGACAAAATGCGTTATAATGAAACTATTTTTTTTCAATAAATTACAACGTTATACAATTATTGGCGTACTGTTTATTTCCGGTCTGTATAGTATGGGCAGTATGTTTTTGTGGAAAATGAAAATCCAAAGAACTAATTTTTAAAAACAACTATGTCCCATATAATGCACCAATAAAAAAAATATACAAACTGGATTAACTAGTTTCAGTGATATCTCTAAATTCTAATCGAGTAACGTTCACATAAGAACGAATTTTTTAGCGATTGTATGGATTTATAAACATTTATTGATTTATTGTAGCCTATAGGTTCACTAAATAATATAGTCTAAATTAATATTTCACAACATAACGAAGTATAAATTATTCTAAATTCAAATGGCATTTTTTAAGCTCTAACATTTCAGAAAATAAATAAATTATGTTTAAATAGTAAAATTAAAGTGATAATTATATATTCAGCTGAATATTTTATTGAATTGAATACTTTTAAAAGATATATGTTCAACAGTTTATTTAGTATTTTCATAGAATTAATTATTGTTTATCAATTATTCAGAAATTGTTAATGCTATATAATTATTGAAAATTGATCTAGATTTAATACTCAAAACTTAAATACATAAGTTTTCCTGATAGTTTAATTATTATAATTATCTTTTTAAATAGCTTATACTTATGTACTATTAAATATATCGGTAACTAAGATTATATTTTAGTAAAATAGTCAATTTATACATTCCGGCTTAAGTTGGTTAAAATTAATTGCAGAATAGGAGTTATTAAAAAAGAATTATACTATATTATACTATATTATGTTCAAGTTGAGTCTCGTGTCTCAAGGGAAGGGGCCCAATGGGTTTGTAGCTTTTTAAATATCATTTAGTCTTTTTTCATTGGAATGTGGGATATAAGGCAAGGGAGCATAGAAGTTTAATAATTTCAAGCAACGCTAATTTTTTTTATGCTTAAGTATTTGGTTTTTCCAATTCAGACACTGAATATAATGAATAGTTTTAAAGAAAAAAAATTATGAGGATACAAAACCAAAACATTGCCAATTGTTAAAGAATTTATTCGGGCAAACATATGTAGATAATATTATAACATACTAAATTAATATTTTTAATGTTATACGAAACACTTTTTTGTTTTTATTTTCTATAGATTCAATAATTGAACTATATTTTGTAATACGTTTGAAGTTAGTTAATACTTAGTGTGATTTTATAAGTAGTTTAAAACAAAAAAGAACTTGTAAGTTGTAATTAATTTCTAAAATGGTATAATGTAAATATATAAAAGATTTATATATATATATTTTAACACCTAACAAGTTTATTTGATAATTTGTTTCTTTGAATGCGTTTTAACGGCTATAAGTGAGTTGCGGCCCGACATGTCATTAACGTGTTGGAAACCGGTGAATTTCAGCCCGAGAAATTTATTTATTTTGTGCCGGCAGTATCGGCAGTATCTTATCTAAAGTACCATAACGTCGATAGTTCAAACGAAAAATATTACAGTGTTCTGTACACCACTCAGTACATAGGGATGGCAAAAAATATTATGCTGATATATCGGTGCAGAAAATATCGATATATCGATAATTAAAAAAAAAAAATAATAATATTTATTGTTCTTTTTTTGTTTGGAGCTCGGAAATTGATTTATTTTGCATTGCTTTTAAAGTTATTAGATGATTTCTTAGCTGAAAATTGTTGTCGATAGCATGTGACTTAACTTAAAATAACTTATTTTATATTGCATTTTCGAACTCTTTTTTTTTTTTCTTTTTTTTTTTAAAATTTGTAAATACCAAGTGAAAAATCGAAGCCATTTACGAAGGCTTCATACGAAGGCTACAAATTTCAAAGTTAAGGACTCATAACACAAATACAGATAAAAGTTACCTATTATTTAAAAAATTTTTTTTGGTTTACCATTTTTGTATTCTGACAACATCATTCATTGTTTCACGGATGACTTTTTAGCAACACTGCCCGCTAAAGATGGTCGGGTTGTATAATTTACAGACGGTTTTCGAAATCTATATATCCCCGGACGCCATATTTCCCCCAAATATTTGGTCACAATTTTTTGCTAGCTATAACCGTACCACTAACGGCTGTGAAAGTTTTCATTCGCACCTAACTTCATCGTTCTACTCTAGTCATTCTAACATTTTTAATTTTATTGATGTGTTAGTAGAAATTCAATCAGAAACGTTTATCAAATGGAGAAGCAATGGAATACAAATGAAGAAAATATATGAAAAAGAAGCATTTATAAGACAACAGATGACAAAGCTAGCACAAAAAGAAATAGAGCAGTTTGATTTCATTAAATCATTAAGTTTTAAGTTTTTGCCCAACCAATAATCTAAAAAATTCATATTACCATAAATCACCATAAATGTTGCCATTTTTACATATATAATAATAAATAATGAAAAAAAACAAATTTTTGGGAGACGACTCAGCCAATCTCCTCGTGGTGTCTTCTAGGTAACGCTGATAGGCTGATATGAAGTGATAAATAAAATGTGGCCGCAATTCGTGCGTCTGTTTTATAAACACGGGCCGCAACTCGTACTTAATTTAGGGATTGGGTAACTAAACTAACTCACCAACACCGGTTTTCACACACAAAAAAAATAATTTACCTGCAAAGGACGCCGATAGTACGTGTACAACCGGTGTATCCGGGTTAAGTACGGTGTTGAAAAACTTTTTGGACTGTGCGTAAGCACCGAAGTATATGGCTCTAGACGGAGCGACGCCCACGATGTTGGGCACCAGTCCTTTGAACAGAGCCTTGGGGCCTTCGGTTTTTACTATGTGCCTAAAAAAGACAGAAAAAATGCCAACTGGGTAAGTAAAGAAAAAAATACGAAATTTACGTATTTGAATGGCAAATAGTTGTTTGTTTATGACTAGCAAAATCAGTAACTTCCAATCTAATAATAGATTAATAACAAATGTAAGGGCAGGACAAGGGTTTCATTTTTATTACGTACGTATTTTTTAACTTCATAAATAAAAATTAAACCAAAAAAATTTAAATTCATGTATTAATACTATCTTTAATACAAAGTAATAGGACTATATAATAATAATACTACTTTTTATTTGATAAATACACCTCAGTAAATATTTAATAATTTAAAGCACTTGAACATAAGTAATAGTTTAATTCAATATATTTATCAAAGATGCATAATAATATTAATGAATAATGATACTATTATAATAATACACCTTAAATTCATTGACTATTATATATTATAATGTAGAATAATCTTGTGCAAATTGTTCAAGTCTCAATTACAAGTAGATACTTAAAATATAATTATTCAATAGATAGTGTTTAATGATATTAATAAAAATACTTAACAACACCATTAGTATCAAAAGGAAATATTCGTTGTTCTAATATAATTGATACTTCTTGAATAAATAACTTATACAAATATACGCATCAGATCGAAATTGCATACTTGTACAGTTTAAAAACTGTATTTCTTGAAACCTATAGCTGAATTATTTAACTACATATAAATTAGTGAATTGAACAACCAATTAAAGTGAAATATACATATATAATAGTTCGTACATAGGTAAAAATATATAGAGTACGTTAAAGAAAAAATACAATGCACAGATAAGAAAATTATTTTAATTGAAACTATTAAAATTTAAATAATATAATTAACTATTACATGTATTTCATTATTTTAAACACATTATTTATATCAAATCATTAAATTATTTAAATTAAGTACTCGTTAATGGAACATATATCATTATTTTGTATACAACTACAGTACTATAGGTAATGAATAGTTGACTATTATCAAGCTACAAATAAAATGTATTATTTATCAATTTTAAAATGTACTATTTGAGTATTTACATTTTACTTTATGTTTAGAATTAATTTTAACGTACTGCAATTTGTAATATTTTAAAAAATTAGATCCAATACATTTAATTTGAATTTAGATTTAAACACGTATATAATATCGTTAAATTTTTATCATAGGCAGTTTGACATTTTTTCAGTTGGTGGTTCAAGCATAGTTAATACCCATCTACCTACCA